AATCAATCAATCATTATTTCCGTGACTTACAATTAAGAAATCCATGTTGACGCATGTTACAGAGTTGTGTTCGATACGTGGTATTTTAAAATATGTATGTAGAAGTCGAATGAAAGATTCAATTCTGACAATACTTCATCTTCCATACATTTAAGCATCTCAAAATAAATAAGCAAAGAAAAGAATAACTTTAAGCTAAAATTCTGAATGAGTGCGACTTTAATCAGCATTGTATTATGTAACGAATTTGCTGTTATGTATTTATTTTAATGTCAACGTTTGTTTGGATTGAGTTTATATTTAAAACATGCGTAGCTTATAGTGTTAAATATGTATTGCGAAACTCCCGCCTATTCTCAAAATTGTAGAAGATTCTCGAGAGTAAGAATCAACAATATATGTATATACGTAAACGCTTTAACTTGTATTGTTACGTAATCTGGATTTTCTAGAAAATATTTCCACGTCTATAAATAAAATAAACGCGACGCACCAAAAGAGAGTGTCTATTATTAGTTCATATAGTCAGTGTGCTATAAAACTTCGGATGCTATAACTGTAATTGTTATAACGCTTATCAGTTGTAAAGCTTCAGATATTTGACCAGGAATCTTTACAAAGTGTGAACATTACAAACTATTTAACTTCAGTGGATTCCCATCGGACATCAGTATTTTTACGAAAACATTATATATATTCATCATGTAGAGCTCGGCGAGTGTGGCCGGTAAATAACCTAGCGTCATATGAACAATGAAGACTACAGAGCTAGGTAGCTCGCCGTTGAGCGAAACGTACTTACATAAACTCGTAATTAACTCGCTCATCGTGAACTCTCGACAAGATATCGAAGAAGTTCCAGATTAAAAAGAAGACTTTATATTGTTTGTAAGTTTATGAATCTTTTGTTTATAAATCATTGTTTGTAATAACGATTTGTAATAACTGTCATTGTTGTTTTGTTGTTTATATATTAAAACGTATTTGTGTTAAAAACGAAAACGGTGTGTATCAATCTTGTTGGCAAATATCGTAAACTGACTATATATCAACTTTAATTTAACTACTAAATACAAAGTACAATTCAACTACTAAATTTAAAGTATCATTTAACCCAATACGTAACAATTAGGGTGTGTGATTTGAGTATCATCGAACCTGCTAACACTTGATTCAACATCTGCAAACACGTTAGATATGTTATCTTTCTTTCAAGTTAAAAAAAAGCAATTAGAGAGACTGTATACCTCACCCAGCCGCTCCTTTTCGAGATTGTATGCGATAATATTGGATAACGTCAATTTTCACTTTCGAAAGCTCAGAAATCCTTCTCCGATCCAGAATGATTAACGATCCGGATCTTTTTTTATATAGTGTAATGAGGAGTGTCAACCTTAATGTGTCCATGAAATTTGGCACAAATACGATCAAACTTTACAGAGTTACTAACCCCAAACCGCAAAAATGTCCTATATTCGTATTACAAAAAAAAATGTTTCAAAGTGATCCGGATCCGGACCAAACTTGGAGAGAACTGTCCCAAATTGGCTTCCCATATTATGTAAAAGTTTCGTGTACATCAGTCTATTAGTTTTCGAGATATGCGCGCGGAAACACAGACAGATACACATGGATCCGATTGCAATACCCTCCCCCTCTGTTTCATTTTATTCTAAACTCTAAGTGATATAGTTGTTATAGCGACAGTCCGATAAATAAAATATTATCTTTATATTACTCCAGTAAGATAATTTTAAATTTTTTTCACCTGAGTCTAATTGTATGGATAAGAGAATTTCTTAAAGAAAAGCAAGCAGACAGTACCTATAACATTTATAACAAAGAAAATAAAAATTATTTTTTGTTTGTTTGCTTGAAGTTAAGCACAAAGCTATACAATGGGCTATCTGTGCTCTGCCCACCACGGGTGTCGAAACCCGGATTTTAGCGTTGTAAGTACGCAGACATACCGCTGTGCCACTGGGGGGCCTATAAAATTATTAAATATAGTAGAAAGTTCTCGTAAAGTCACTCAGTCCTATGAATTAGAAAATATCAAATGTGTCTCGTGAGTTGTTTCATGAACATCTTCATACAATCTATCAAATTATAGCTTTATTCTTTTGTAAATGTTTAGCTTGTGTTTGTTTTCTCCTTTTATTTCTGAACAATGAGAAATTAATTCAGTTGATTTGGTTTACTTTTTCTCTCATCATCATTGTAGTTATTATTGGATGTTTTAGCGCAAAGCTACACAATGGGCTATCTGCGCTCTGTCCACTGAGAGGTGTCGA